CTTGAGACTGACCCAGAAACTCCAGCGGGTGCAGAATGCTGCAGCGAGACTCCTTACAAGGTCTTCGCTGCGAGATCACATTCACCCGGTGCTATACCAGCTGCACTGGCTCCCGGTGGAGTACAGGATCAGGTTTAAGGTGCTGGTTTTAACCTTTAAAGCCCTATACGGCTTAGGACCCTCGTACCTACGGGACCGCCTCTCCTGGTATGCCCCACAGAGAAACTTACGGTCTTCAAATAAAAACATCTTGAGGGTCCCAGGCCACAGAGAAGTTAGGCTGGCCTCAACGAGAGCCAGGGCCTTTTCGGCTGTGGCTCCGATCTAGTGGAACACTCTGTCACAAGAGACCAGGGCCCTGCGGGACTTGACATCTTTCCGCAGGGCCTGCAAGACAGAGCTGTTCCACCAGGCCTTTGGCAAGGGCACAGCCTGACTCCCTCCTTCGGCAATCTTCGCGGAGCTCTGGCCCAATGGCTGCCAGTGGCTTGAATTAATTAATTTTAGAATGAATGATTTTAGAGTGTTGTTTATGTTGTATTTTTGTACTGTTTTATTGTTGTTAGCCGCCCTGAGCCCGGCTAAGGCTGGGGAGGGCGGGATATAAATAAAATTTATTATTATTATTATTTTCTCATGTAGCCAAAAAGACCAGAAATCAGCATTTGTAGGCTACCTTCCTCTGCACTGAATATTGAACTCCATTGGGCCATATGATGTGTCTTGCAAAAGTGTTAGACATAAGAAACAAGAGAAGGACTGTGGCTCAAGTGTTCATGGTCCCTTGATTGGTCCCTAGTTCCATTCCTGTTGTCTCCAGGAACAGTTGAGAAAAGTCAGTGTAGAATACGCTCAACTAGATGGACCAATTTTCCTAAGAGACCTGCCATGGAATGCCCATTCTGTCCCTAGCCCTACCTGTCATTTGTGGAGTGGATTTCATGTTTGCATAGGAGTCTACATGGGTCTACACTCATGCACAAACTGTGCAGTCTATAGAAATATTAAATGCAGTTGGGTGAAGACAGGGGTGCACCAGACAACAGGGGTGACTGCTTCACACAAACCAAATCCCAGGATCACCTAAGATATATGACATAGGATATGCCCTTGTACTGGGCTTATCTGCACTTCTGCCCTGCTTTCAAGCCACAGCTCTTTCCACAAGCTCCATGTCTGAGCACTTTTCTTTCTCTCCAGAGGTTTCCCTGCAAAGACCTGCTTTTTAAAGCTGAAGTGCAAGAAACGGCAATTCGGGTTTTCCGCAGATTGCTGTTTGCTCCAATTCCACTTTAAAGAGCGGGTTTTCGCAGGGAAAGCTGCACACAGAGAGAGCACTTTGACACAGAGCTTTAAAGCACCTGGAAAGTGCGGAGGAAAAGTAAGTATGGTTAATAAGCCCACTGAACCAGAACATTGGCCCCGAAGTATATTCCTTTTCATATGCCTGCATGCCAGAAGCCTTGGAGACATGGGAACTTCAGGAACATGACAAAAGGTCTGTGCAGACAGCATGGGCAATTCAGTAAATATTCTAAGAGGAACATTTTGGAGTACCTGGTGTATAGTTTATGTGCTGAGCTTCTGACTGTAAAGAAATCCAGTGCTGTTCAAAGGAATGGTTAATGTGCCGCTGGTGTTTGTTGGGGTACGCACAGTCAGATCTGTCTACAAGTTACTCATACAAGGCCAAGTCAGGTAGATCCCACAGGCAACAGTTTCTTTTAAAGGTAGAACAGGTGAATGATAAACAGGGATCTGAAAACATTTAATGGGGATTATAATTATTTTCCCTTGGTTTGAAGATTGTTTGGGGGCCACTGAACACCTGAGCTTTCCACGTACCACTATTGCTGCGTTTCCTGTTTACGTCCAATACGCTTCCAGGACTATCACCTTCCTCGGGAACCTCTGCCAAATCCGATGTCTATAAGAAAGGAGGAGAAGGGGTTTGAAAGCGTGAAAGTGAGCAAAAATGAGAAATAGACGCGCAAGAGATTGAAGCACATGGCAACAGCTTGGTGGTGGGTGTGGAAGGAATCAGGAAGTGTCAACACTGACGACAAAATGTTATTGAGAGGTGGAGTTCAAATATTTGATGGGAGAATAGCAGGACATTTAGATGCGCTGTAGACCTAGATGCTGAATCTAATTCAAACAGGGCTCTTTGTTTACACAGGAGAGGAAAATGGAGTTAAGGGAAAAGGACAGGTGGTTTTTGGAGTTTACATATGCAGTAGATTATAATTCCATCATCTCAGCAACAACTAGCAAGGAGCACAACATAAATTATCATGCAACAGAATGTATTTATGACAGGAAGCACACATGAAAGGAGATCCTGCAAGACCTCTGGAGAGTATAGTGTCTGGTATAGCCATCTGGTGCCTGGGGAAGCGGACAGGTTTTGCACTACTGCAACCATGTGCCTTATTTCTATCCTTTCCCTAAAAGGGTAAGCTTTGGGATCTAAAAGGTGTTCTCTGGAGTCTAGATTGCACTGATTGCATCTGTTGAGAATCAAGTCCACCTGCTCACCTGCACATCACTTCATTTGCATAACTCCACCCCCTTGCCTGCACAGTCTCATTCTAGGTTCTTTTTTGTGGTCACATTAGAACTTGACAAATTATCGGGTACTGGCTTTTGGACAGAGGTAGAGGTTGATAGATGCATATACAGGAGATGTTGAACAGTTCTATCCCATGTCTGTTTACTTGTAAGCTGCCTCTCCATTGTGACTGATTGAACTGACAGGTCTTAGGAACAGTCCCAGGGACCCAAAGGCTAGTGCTGTTAGGAGGCTGTTGGATATCACTGTTAATATTACTGAAATGAAATAATTGCTTGGATTGCCATATTTGAAATGGATTGGTTGCCAGAGCTGTTTATTGCAATGATGATACATTGTCTTGATTTTGCATCACTGCTGTGTTGTAGGCAGCTTTGGACACATCAAAGTGGAAAGGTAGCATAGAAATTAAAATCGTCACCATCAATGGGTGCCTTATCACAGTGATTTAAAATAACAAGTGGTGGCTTAAAAGGTCCCTCTATACCAGGCATGGTCAAACTTGGCCCTCCAGATGTTTTGGGACTACAATTCCCATCATCCCTGACCACTGGTCCTGTTAGCTAGGGATGATGGGAGTTGTAGTCCCAAAACATCTGGAGGGCCAAGTTTGGCCATGCCTGCTCTATACCTTCATGGATCCTGAAATCCCATGCTCAAGTGATCTGAAGTTCATGTGTTTTCTTCCAAATAAGTATGTGGTTTTAAGTACTACACACTTATGCGTAATCCACTACTTGACAGCCTGACTTGCCAAGGAGTAAATCCCACGACGTATTGCATTCTGTACTTACACCCACTCCCCATCTGATCAAAATTTCAAGGCAAGCTGGCAATATGTTCCTGTTTTGCATGCTTGAGTAATCATTTATTACTTAACAGAAAGCTTTACCGATTTGACAAGAAACAATTACATTTGTGGAAATTCTGGTCTGTGGATGAGCTAAAGAAACGAAGAGGAAAGATCACAACGTTTGAACAAAGCTAGCATTTGCTTTGGGGAAATACAACATTCATAAGTTGTGAGGGTTTATAATAGGGCCATTTCTCTAGGAATACGCAAAGGTCTCCATGTAGATGTGTTTAGTGGAATAGCAGCAACGTTAGCAGCTGTGGAATTCCTGCAGAACAGCAGCTCTGCCCAATGGAAGACACAAGTACATGCTTACTCCTGAGGAACCGTAAACTGGGTGGCTGGTGAGAATGGAGTCTGCCCAGAGACACCATTTGGGCCTCTATTTCAACATTCACTGGTCACTAAAGAGGTTCATTCTCAATGCCTTAACAGCAGTGAACGCCGGCAGAGGCCGTGCCAAGGAATGAACCTAAGTGTACAATTGGTTTGCATTTGGAGGAACTTGAAAGTTTGGAATCCCCCGTCTGTTTTCCACAGTTGTATACATGTTATTCTTCTGCTTATCTCTCATATTTAGAAGTATTAAAGCTTGTGGTGAAAGTAGATAGAAACGGATTAGTTCTTAGGAATACAGTGGTACCTCGGGTTAAGTACTTAATTTGTTCTTAACCTGAAACTGTTCTTAACCTGAAGCACCACTTTAGCTAATGGGGCCGCCTGCTGCCGCCGCAACTTGATTTCTGTTCTTATCCTCAAGCAAAGTTCTTAACCTGAAGCACTATTTCTGGGTTAGCAGAGTGTGTAACCTGAAGCGTATGTAACCTGAAGCATATGTAACCTGAGGCACCACTGTATAGAGTTAAAAATATTTGCCCTGTGCAGCGTATACTTGAAATCTACCCATCTTATGGAAAGCTGTAGGGAATTTCAAAGTAGCCAAGTTCATGGAGCACAACACACTTTTTTTTTTGACACAGAGGCAATTTCAGAGGATTTAGGGCTTCCAGTTTAACAGAGACCCTGCTCTAGAGCGTATTTAGTTGGAAGGTGAATCCAGCCTTGCCACTGCTGCCATGTTGAAATGCTAAAGAATGCACAGGCCAGCTATTCGCTCCTCCAAATACTACTTTTTTTCACTAGAGAATAAGAAGTGTGTGTGTGTGTGAGGGGTGGTGGGTCCCATTTTGCCGCTTAAGACAAAATGAGGTGCCACCCTACCTGCCGCTGCCACCTGTGCCACCTGCACCGTTGCCTCTGCTCCCAGCACTGGTGCAATTTTGAGTGAGATCTTGCAGATTTTGGGTCAGCTCTTGTGCGCTCTGCAATATCTGGCCTGAAATAGGTGCCAGTGCTGGAGCCACTTCTGGAAGCAGTGGGGCACCCACAGAAGGGCTGGCTCAGGGGTTTGGTTCCTCAGGGGCTAATGCTGTACCAGCCCTGGGGAGTCTATGCATGTTTTATAACACCAAAATTCAAGAGCAGAAGAGAAGTTCAACACAGGCAGAAGAGTGAAATGACAACTGAGGGATCCTCTCAGTCCTCTGCCAGGTGATTAGTAGACAAGCCAGTTTTATTTCATTTATTTAACAAAATGTTCAGTAAAATATTTATTAAAAACACAATAAAATTAGCAAGGTCTAAAAATAAGTATACATATAAAAATTACTAACATAGACATAAAATCAACAGAATAAAAAAATAAGTGTACATAACAAAATTACATGTAAAGGTAGGTTTGCTGAAATAATATTTTTAAAGCAGTCATCTGCTTTGCATGACCCCAACACTGTGTACAGCATCATGATGCTATGGTAGGTCCAAGCTTCTGGGTTTTTTTTTAAATAGGAATGCTGGTGATCATTCACAATCCTACTTGTGCAGCGCACAGTGAATCCCTTTTGCAGAAGTAAGCATTTCAAGTGTTTTGAGACTGTTGGCTTCCCCATAATTATCAAAAATAGTTCTGGCCTTGTTTTCCTATCAGTGTTCTAAATCAAACCCATAAAATGGGATTTCCCATCTGTTCTGTTTCTGTTTCTCTCTCTCTTACAGAGTCATTTAAAGACTGTTCTTTTGTTTCATTCTGCTGGCTATGCCAGCCAGATTCTATTGAGGGTGGATTTTTATTCTGTGGAATTTGCGTCAAAGCCCACTAGTGTGGGGTTTCTGATGGCAGTGCTGTTCCATCAACTCTACCATCCTCACCCACCTGAAGATCTCACATCTTAAATTATTCTGTCCATTCTCAATGGCTGCCCCTGGAATTCTCTCCCGGAGCAATGCCTCTCTTTGTCTTTATCATATGGATCCTCATTTCCACAAACCTTTTAGTCCAAAACCCTCAGTGCAAATAGCTGCATTTGTTCACATCAACGCCTCCTTGCCATTCCATTCTTGCTGGCTTCCTGTTATTTACTATCATTGCCCGTACCTTTCTTCTGCAGTCCATCTTTTCCAATATTTTAAAATTGGTGCAAGGGTTTGTCTTCTTCTTTTTGCCTACTAGGTAAAGGTAAAGGTACCCCTGCCTGTACGGGCCAGTCTTGACAGACTCTAGGGTTGTGCGCCCATCTCACTCAAGAGGCCAGGGGCCAGCGCTGTCCGAAGACACTTCCGGGTCACGTGGCCAGCGTGACATCGCTGCTCTGGCGAGCCAGAGCCGCACACGGAAATGCCGTTTACCTTCCCGCTAGTAAGCGGTCCCTATTTATCTACTTGCACCCGGGAGTGCTTTCGAACTGCTAGGTTGGCAGGCGTTGGGACCGAACAACGGGAGCGCACCCCGCCGCGGGGATTCGAACCGCCGACCTTTCGATCAGCAAGCCCTAGGCGCTGAGGCTTTTACCCACAGCGCCACCCGCGTCCCCCTCTTTTTGCCTACTATGAACCCCTTATAAATTGGTGGCACTGTTTGAAAAACCACCATCAGCACTGTGTCAGGCAGAGTGATTATGAATGGGGATGCTCAGATCTTTATTTTTTTATTAAAGAATGTTGAATTACCAACCAAGGTACAGGCAGTGAAGCAGTATATATCATTCCCAAAGAAATCAGGTGCCTGCAGAAGAGGTTTAGTAAATAATAGTAAGAAGTGGCATGTAACCAGACACCCAAGTCCTTTCTGGGGAAAGTAGGTGGATATACTATGGAAAAATTTGGCAACAACCCAAAACAGCACACTTACTGAGTTCCTTTTTGGTGAATCTGAGCTGCTCCCAGAACTGCCTTTCTTCATTTTTTGGGCTAAGGAAGTTCCAAAGCGAAGTGTTTCATAGACGGGGTCAACCTTATTGCCACAAGCTGCAAAAGAAACACAGATAAGAAGGGAGAAAAGATAGGATGTTAAAAGTGTTCTTCTTCCTCCTTGAAAAATATTGCTTATCCTTTCAAGATGGAAACTAACATCCGCCTGGGCCATGGACCAAAACAGATGTTCAGCGGAGGGTCCAAGTCCAGGAACCAGGTCTCTGCCAAACATCTGGAAAGAGAGCCAATGTGATCAGTATTAGCGCTACCTGTTTATTTGTATGCCAGTTTTCTGCAAAACTCTGCTCAAAGTAGCTCACAATGGATCAAATAAACAGTAAGAAACATAACAACAAAGCCATAATGTGTTGTAAGGGTTCAGAATGTCATTATAGGACCAGGGATGCTAATGTCCAAATGGGCACTCACTGGATGACTTGGGCATCCCAGGCTTGTGCAGTGACTACTTTTAATTTTGCCAAGACATGGGCAACCCATATCTTGCTCCTCATCTTTGACTTTCAGTTCATTCAAGGATGACTCAAGATATTCTGGTGCCTGCGATGGAAAAATCTAAATGCTAACTGCTCCTGCTGATCAATATGGGCCCAAATCCACTGGGAAGCTCACAGTGCTAGTGCACTTGGTAAACTCTTATTCGTCTCAATGTGACTTGCAGAAAACAGAAACGCTACTAATTTTTTGTGCTCCAGGGTCAGTTCTGTTTCTTACTTGGGATGGCACCCCAGATTTGTCACCTGAGACCTCACCTTGGTTTGTGACCTCTGTATTCATTTGAAATCCACACCTTAGAGCTTCTTACTCAGTAATTTGATTAAGTTTATTTGCCAGTCACTTTCTTTATGGCATTCTGAGCCTTGAAACCTCTGCATCAGGGATGGGGAAGGTCGGACCCTGGAGCCAAATATAACTCTCCAGGACTCTGTATCAGAACTCTCCCAGGCCATGCCTCCTCTCCCTTCATGCCTCTCACTGGCTCTGCTTTGGACTCTGTGTCTTTTTGCCTGGTTGGAATGTACCTGTTATGTACTGAGTTGAATAGGATCCAAATTGCAGCAGTCTAATTGGTCCTAGAACAATGCAGCAGTATGATTGGTTGGCAGTGAATCCACAACCTGATTGGCTTACAGTAGAATTCCGGAATTAGCCAATCATGTGCAGCCCATTGTGTAAATAATGTATATAAAGCAGATACTTTGAGGGGACTTTCCTTCATTCCTCCTCACCACTATGAGCTGAATAAAGAGCATGAAATCACTTTGCGACTCTGAGTATATTTCAGTACCTGTGAACTCTGATAATGCCTCTGGGTGGAGGTTAGAGAGGAGTATCTGTAGAAACTAGCCTACTGCACAAAGGTGAAATTTACATTTGTTGCTCTGCCTACTTTGGCCCTTGGCTCCAGACACCATTGGCATGTGGCCTCCAGTGAAGGTTGTCTTGGAGAGACTGAAAATGATTATTCCCCACTCTTGCTCTGTGGAATGATGTTTGCTAGTGCTACCCTTGTGAAGTTTTTGTTTTCCAAGAGGGAATTACCTGGGCAGGGACTCAGTCAAAGTCTTGCTGTGATTAAGCATCACTCGCAAAAGGGCACAGTAGCCTTTGCGATATCAATGAACGCTACAACTTGCAGAATTGGGGGGCAGGGACCATTAACAAAACAAGACTCTATCTGAACTTACCAATAGGCATTACTTCTTTGATGCAGCCAAATTGCTCGTGAATGAGTAGCGGAGAGCTGTAGTAGCGGCGAAAGCCTTTGGGCTAGAGAGTGAGCAAACGAGAGAGCGAGAGAGAGAATGAATATAAGGCAATCATGACCCATTCAGTTCAATGGGGTTGCTAGGTTCAGCGGACGTACAATGAAGCTACAGTAATATGGTATACAGTGGTACATTGGGTTAAGAACTTAATTCGTTCCGGAGGTCCATTCTTAACCTGAAACTGTTCTTAACCTGAGGTACCACTTTAGCTAATGGGGCCTCCTGCTACCGCCGCACCACCAGAGCACAATTTCTGTTCTCATCCTGAAGCAAAGTTCTTAACCCGAGGTACTATTTCTGGGTTAGCGGAGTCTGTAACCTGAAGTGTCTGTAACCTGAGGTACCACTGTATCTGCTAATTCTTTGGTGCAGAAGTCAGGAGCCTATGGCCCTCCCAAGGTTGTTGGACTCAAATTCCCACCAGTCCCAACCAACAGAGTCAATCGTGATGATGGGAGTTGGAGTTCAACAGCAATGACATGTTCCCTATCCCTGCTTTACTGGGGCAACTTTACTTTTTACTGCAAAGCTAAAACTGAACAGCGTAGATTCCTTCCTGTTGCTGGATCTGCATGGGATCCAGATCATAAGAACATATAAATTAATTTTTGTACTTTAGCATTCATACTTAGGGGAAGTATGTTTCATTTTTAATTGGAAATATTTTGAAGGCTTCCCCTTCCTGGTAGATGTCCTCTTTTGTGGGGGTGACAAGCTCCTATACTCAATCATGCCAATGAAACATCATTTATAACCCAGAAATACAAAGCAGCTAATAAAAAAAGACCAGCCAGAATTAGAAGATTTAAAAGCCTAGTGTATAAAAATGCTTCACTTGGTGTCTAAGGCTATAAAGCAAATAAATTAGATCTGACTAACTAGGTACTAATTATGCAAAGCAGATCCCCTGCATAAGCAGTAGGTGTTTCTTTTCTGCCAGCAAAAGCCACTCTGTGGTGTGGTGAATCCTGGATGGATCAGCTGCACCCAAATGCACAAAATGGGGAGACAAAATAGATTTCAGGAAGCGCCATCAATTTAGCTCATGGGGGAGATAAATGCCTTTCCCCCCATCCACGGGAGTAGCCAGGCAGGCAGGGGTTTTGAAGGGAGGTGTTTTTGCTTTGGAGGACCCCTCCCCATCTCCTCAAACCCCCTTCCTCTCTAGGAATCTAGTCTGGTTCATTTTAATCACGGAGAGAGCCAAGCTACAGGATCAGATCTCTGCATCTCTCTCAAAGCAGAAGCCAAAGAGGATGCTCGCTACACACAGAGGTGGGTGGCGGCTCCGTGACACTTCAGGTTCCCAAATGAAACTGGCAATGGAAGGCAAGGGAGCAATGCAAAGAAATAGGGGCAGGGATCTAAGAGGTTTGGACACAGAGCAGACCATCCCCGATGTTGCTGAGCAGCTTTGCAAGAGTGTGCAAACGAGAACCCAAAGTAGGTTGCTGCTTTGCTCTTTCCCTGGCCGAGAGATGGAAGGAGCAATGAAGGTAAAGGTGGAGAAAGATTTGAGGGGTTTTCTTTGGCCGTTGGCAGTAGCAAAGGCTTGCATTTGGGAATCTGAGACTCTGCATGACAAAGTGAGAAGCTATGATGGCTTAAGGGTTTTCAGCATGGGTCCCTGCATTTGGGGGGCAGTTGGAGACTATGGGATAAGCAGCGAGCCCGCTGTAGAAATATGGGCCTTGGCAAATGTCCAACAATGCCCAGTCCTGAAGCCATCCCTGCTGTAGCCCTGTCTGAAAAGCAACAACTCTTGTTTAACTGAGCCTGTAAGAGTCTATATTTTTCAGGGTTGGCATGTTCGGAGTATGATTTTTGAATTCTGTGCCTAGAATAAGTTTCTTGCTAGATTATCTTTTCCTAAACACTGTGTGCTTCTTCAATTCAGCCAAGACATTAGGTGGGACCTGCTGGGCCATATCTCTTGCCCAGTCTGGTTTGTGGCTGTGTTTGATCCAATTACTGCCTTCTATATATATATATATAATTATCCAATTACTGCCTTACCAGTTTGCCCATGCAGCGTTGCTGTCCAATGCTCTCTGCACATCTGTGGTGAATGCTCAGCTTGCATGCCTTGCAGCGCAGTCCATGTTTAGCGTTTGTCCCTGTCAGAGGAACAGAAATAATTTAATTACAGAATATCAATAGTTTCCATGCATCCAAGTGACCTCCCGCAAAGCTCAAACAGGTCTCAGCCTTACAGTACTTCACAAACCTCCAGTCTTAATACAACTGTGCAGAATCCACAGACCTACGCCTGGCCCCCCCACCCACAAAGGGATGGTTTACTTTCTCTTTATTTTCTAAAAGAATACACTACAGCTCAGCTGAGAAAAAGATCTCCTTGCTTGCAAATCAGAATTGCCTCTCAAAACATAACCCTGTGTCTTATGGGAAAAGTTATGCATTGTTGTAACCATGATTTGGTTTGCAATTGGCTTCACAGTTGTAATAAATGAATACAATATTAGATTTTACAATAAAAAATATAGCCCAAGTGATCCAGTTTTTAACTTCGTCCCTCTTTCTTCAATCCTAGAACATCTAGTCGCTGCAGATGTGATGTTAAGAACAGATGTACTTGGGCAGCATACCTTAGTTTATCATATCTGAATTCAGAGTATCTTAAAGGGCAGGAATGGATAGCAACTTTTAAAAATAAACGTTAATAAGCTCCCTGGCCTGCAGGCCTTTTTCTACCTGGCCTGGGTGGGCGGGGCCCAGACTGACTCCAGCTACAAAAGTTCAGGCTGCTGAAAAGGTCAGAGAGCAGCTTGGCTGTCTCTTTTTTTTTTTGGTAAGATGTTTATTAGCGTTTTACAAAAAACATAGATTTACAGAATAAAAAAAATTAAAACAGTCATTAACATACTAAAAAGAAAGACATAGAAGAAAAGAAAAAAAGAAAAAATACAAAGTTCAAAAAACAAATAGCTAAGAAAAAATAAAAAATCCATTTTTCAATATCTTTAAGTTCATTTGCTTGTTTCCTTGACCTCCTCACACCTCCCCTTTTTGTGTTCCCATTTACATAATCAATTCAGCAAATCCTTACCCTCTTTCATTTATCTTAACTCTATATCTTAACCTATTATAACTATGCATTTTCGTCCATAATCCATCCATATTTGCATATTCTTATAAACCTTGTTACCAATACCACTTATTTTCAATCCAACATCATTTTAACATTCATTAATTTTGCAGTATTTATGCAAGTAGTCTTTAAATTTCTTCCAATCTTCTTCCACCAACTCTTCTCCCTGGTCTCGGATTCTGCCAGTCATTTCTGCCAATTCCATATAGTCCATTACCTTCATCTGCCACTCTTCCAGTGTGGGTAAATCTTGTGTCTTCCAATACTTTGCGATGAGTATTCTTGCTGCTGTTGTTGCATAAATAAAGAAAGTTCTATCCTTCTTTAGCACCAATTGGCCGACCATGCCCAGGAGAAAGGCCTCTGGTTTCTTCAGGAAGGTATATTTAAATACCTTTTTCATTTCATTATAACTTGGCTGTCTCTTAGTGCAGACCCAGATCATCGAGTCTGAGCTTCCACAGCTGTTGTCTGCCATGAACTACCACTGGCAGGATTGGCAGCAGATATATTATATGCCTATTTTATTCTCTTGCTAATTATGCTGTTTTAAATGTGCATTTTCTATTTGACTTCTTATGGTCATGATTTCTTTTGAAATCTTTAAGATAATTTTCTGTTGTTGATTTTGCTGCATTAAACATGCATACTTTGGTTGCCCTCCTTTGTAAAGTTTTATTTTGAAATCCTTATGGTAATATTTTAGTTTCCCGTTAATTATGTTGTTTTGAATGTATACTTTATATTTGACTTTGTTCAGTAATGTTTGTTCTGGGTTGATTTATTTGATGTTTTAATGTGTGGATGTCAGGGGCTCAGGAGCAGAGGCACAGGGGAGAGAGGAAATGGAGAGCGAGGGGGAGGAATCTGGGAGCAGCGGAGAGCGGAATGAGAGTGACCCGAGAGATTCCATGAGCCTCTCCAGTGAATCAGAGGATTCTCAGAAGGGGGCGCCGATGGCCAGGGCAAGGGGGGCCCCAGGGGGGACACACCAGGAGCAAGGGGCCAGCGGAGATTCCCAAAGCAGTAGGTGGAAATCAGGGCCAGGTTCCCCACCGGAGCGCAGTGGGGGGGAAGAACCCCATAGGCCAGAGGCAGTGTCTCCTCCGGCAAGCAGGGAGGAGGAGTCAGGGCCAGCCAGCGTTCCCGAGGAGGGAAGCAGCGACAGGAGCAGTGTAACGGTCAGAAGGAAGGTGGCAGGCTGGGCGCGCGCGCCAAGTTCAAATGTACAGGCGCGCGGGACAGCTGACAGCCCGGAGTGGGAACCAGGTCCTAAAGCCCGCCGGAGGTTGGGGGAGGACTCAGGAGACTCAGCGTCTGAAGAGTCGAGGAAGGGCGAGTCCTCGGCGGGCAAGAGGACCCAGAGGAAGAAAGAGCAAAGGAAGAGGTGGAGCAAGGCTAGAGTCTTAAACTGGTGTCTGGGGGGAGGAGACTCAGACGGAGCTTCGGCGGTCTAGAGTTGGGACGTAGAGTTGCGCGCCAAGAATGTAAAAGCGAAGCAGAACTAAAATAAAGACTGTTTCATATGACAACGATCTGGCGTTGGTCCTTTGTGAGCTGGGACCTAGGGCAGCTCTGACAGTTGCAAACCACTCTGAGGCTTTTTCTTAAGATATAAAGCAGTATAAAAATGAAAGAAATAATAATGATGATAATAATAAATAAAATAAAAATATTCAGAGGTAAGCCCACCTGAGTTAGGAGTATAGCATCTAGATCAAGGGAAGTAATAATGCCACTGTATTCTGCTCTGGTCAGACCTCACCTGGAGTACTGTGTCCAGTTCTGGGCACCACAGTTCAAGAAGGACACTGACAAACTGGAACGTGTCCAGAGGAGGACAACCAAAATGGTCAAAGGCCTGGAAACGATGCCTTATGAGGAACGGCTAAGGGAGCTGGGCATGTTTAGCCTGGAGAAGAGGAGGTTAAGGGGTGATATGATAGCCATGTTCAAATATATAAAAGGATGTCATATAGAGGAGGGAGAAAGGTTGTTTTCTGCTGCTCCAGAGAAGCGGACACGGAGCAATGGATCCAAACTACAAGAAAGAAGATTCCACCTAAACATTAGGAAGAACTTCCTGACAGTAAGAGCTGTTTGACAGTGGAATTTGCTGCCAAGGAGTGTGGTGGAGTCTCCTTCTTTGGAGGTCTTTAAGCAGAGGCTTGACAACCATATGTCAGGAGTGCTCTGATGGTGTTTCCTGCTTGGCAGGGGGTTGGACTCGATGGCCCTTGTGGTCTATTCCAACTCTATGATTCTATGATTCTATTATTCTATGAGTTCAATGGGGCTTACTTCAAGATAAGTGTGTGTGGAACTGAGGTCTAATATATCATGGTTCTGATCCAGAAATAGAAGAAAAAAGAGGGAAGGCTTCTTAGCAGTAGAGTCTACTGACACAAAAGAGACAAGAAGCATCTGGTCATGATCAGGTATTGATTCTGTAAATCCCATGCACTGTGCTTCTTGAGTCACATCTTTCAGTTGGAACAGGGTGTACCTATGGCTAATCCTCATCACTTCTGCACAGTACAGAAGAAAGACTCACATCCATCAAAGGCACATCTGTATGCCATCTCTGGGTCCATGGCAAAGGATTGTTCTTTGCACATTTTTTTGTTCTGTGTGACTGTCTCTGAATCAGGAAGGATGGGGAGGGTGTGAGGGGCAGGGAGGGAGCCACTGGGCGCTGTAAGTTATTGATCCTATAATCCAGTGCACTTTTAGATTTGAGCTATCATCTTCCTCAGGGGCAATGTCAATACACGAATTCAACCAAGCAAACTTTTGCTTTTGTGTGGCTTTGTGCAATTGTTGCCCCTGAAGAAGACTGGTTGCTTTGTTACAGGATTTGGGGTGTACATCTATCAGTCTGAATGCCATCTTGGGGTCTCCCCCAAGCCTGTGGTTTCACATCTCTAAGCTGGGGTTCTGTAGAAAAAGAGATCCCTAAAGTTAATGCCATTAACTTAATGCTGCCAGCCAGGAACGCCTCAAGCCAGGTCTGTTAAGTACCGTATTTTTCGCCCTATAGGATGCACCGGCCCATAGGACGCACCTAGATTTTTTGGGGGGGGGGGGAAATAAAGGGGAAAAAATTATTTTCCTCCCCCCGGCGCGGGGCAGGGGCGGGGGAAGCTCGCCAGCCCCCAGAACAGGACCCAGAGCGATGCCAAAGCTGCGTGCAGCTTTGGCATCGCTTTGGGAGCTTGTGAGGCTGGGGGCGGGGAAAGCAGAGCTTCCCCCTCCCCCAGCCCCCAGAACGGGACCCAGAGCCATGCCGAAGCTGCATGCAGCTTCGGCATCGCTCTGGGAGCTTGGGCTGGAGGAAGGGGAAGCCCTCCGCCAGCCTTCTAACCAAGTCGGGGGACAGCGGGAAAGGCGCGCTGCGCCTCTCCCACTGTCCCCCGAGTTTGCGGGGCTGGCGACGGGGAGGAGCAGGCTTCTCCCCCCTGCCAGCCTTCTAACCAAGTCGGAGGACAGCAGAAAAGGCGCGCTGCGCCTCCCCGCTGTCCCCTGAGCTTGTGGGGCTGGCGGTGGGGCTCTCCTGAAGCCTGGAGAGCGAGAGGGGTTGGTGCGCACCGACCCCTCTCGCTTTCCAGGCTTCAGCGAAAGCCTGCATTCGCCCCATAGGACGCACACACATTTCCCCTTCATTTTTGGAGGGGGAAAAGTGCGTCCTAAAGGGCGAGAAATATGGTATCTCTTAGCAGCACGACCAAAGAGTGCAGATAACTTACAATGTACACACGTTTAACACGTGCAGTTTCAACTTTTATGGAGCTGAGGACTGGCCAGTTGAAATCGCGCAAATTAAATGCATGGAAGGTGGAGAGATTAAAAGCTCTTTTTTGTGCAGGGTTTTCCCAGTGTGGAAAGAGCTTTTATGCTCTCTGCCTTGCTTACTGGGCTCCGAAAGCGCCTCCTAGATCCCTGAAAACATGCTGGACAGCTTAAAAACCCTCTGTCTTGCTTAGGGGGCAAGACCTGGCACACTGGTTC